GCGGCCCTGCTCAGCAACGTGCCGTGGGCTCGGGTGAGACGTGGAAGTACCTCAGCAGAGTTCGGGAAGCCGGATTTTATAATGCTCACGGGATTCGTTGCAGAGGAAAGAAAACATTACACTGTTTATCCACCCCCACAGCAAGTCGTCACACGGACCCTCATGTGACATAAGAGATGTGAAGGTTGTCATCCTGGGACAGGATCCAGATCACGGACCCAGTCAAGCTCATGGGCTCTGCTTTAGTGTTCAGAGACCGGTTCCACCTCTGCCCAGTTTGGAGAACATTTACCAGGAGCCGTCCGCCGACATGGATGGTTTTGTCCGTCCCGGCCATGGAGGTTTACCTGCCTGGGCCAGACAAGGTGCTCTGCTACTGAACGCCGTGCTCTGCTACTGAACGCCGTGCTCACGGTTCGGGCCCTTCAAGCCAGTTTTCATAGGGAGAGAGGTTGGAGCAGTTTACTGATGCAGCCCTGTCCTGGCTAAGTCAGAACTCGAATGGCCTTGTCTTCTTGCTCTAGGGCTCTTCGAGAAGGACAGGGCCATTGACAGGAAGCAGCACCAGGTACTGCAGACTGCTCATCCCTCCCCGTTGTCCGTGTACAGAGGGTTCTTTGGATGCAAACATTTTTCTAAAACCAACGAGCTGTTGCAGAAGTCTGGCAAGAAGCCCGTCGACTGGAAGGAGCTGCGATCCTGAACTGAGGGGTGGTCTGTCTCCACTGGTGGTTTTGAGAAACTGCTAAGGAAGTATTGTCAGTTCTGAAGTTGAATGGAAAAGTTCTCTATTGATTCCTCAGTACTCTGCATAAAGGGGGAAAGCTCCAAAAAGCAGCCGTGAACCAGGCTGCCACGAATGGCAGAAACAGCCAAGACCGAATGTCTTTCTCTGCACCGTGGCTTTAGCCTAAAACGCAGATGAAGTCAAATACTCACCGGGCTCTCTTCAGCTCCCTTACCTTTATGAGTAAAGGGGGAGGTGTGCACCTTTTCGTACTGTTGGGCATAACTTTGCGCGCATGCGCCCTGACGCGCACGGCGCCAGTTCATGCGCTCCGCGGCCACCATTTCACTAGCGCTCAACGGCACGTAGCTGCCAGCCTCGCCCTTCCGGGTCCCAGTGATTCAGCAACTTTAGTTCCGTATTCGCGTAAAGCCTCCCCACCACCTCACCCTATCCTTTTAAGCCCTTCTTATTGGCTCTTTGCTTGATCTCTCATATCAAAACCCGCCCTGCCCTTTTTCCCTATATAAGCTGTGCCGCCCTGCAAATAAACGGAGTTCAGGCTTTGACCACTCTCCTGGCTCGGTGGTGTTCTTTCTCGGCCCCAGGGGAGGAAGGTCCTGGGGGGGAAGGGCCATGCCAGCGACACTCATCATCCCGCTCAGCCCCACAAGGGACACCCGGCTGGACCGGGGTCTCTTCCCACTCGGTTTTGTCGGCCTCTGGCTCAGGGAGGCCCAACAAAGTCCTATGTCAATATTCTAGTAAAGTTCTGAGAAACCTGTTGCATCTGGAACCTCTCCTGTCAGG